TTGGATGTCTCGTCTTCTGATTCTGATTCCACTATCAATGCCTTTTTACCTTTTCTCCTGTGGTCTCTGGTGGAGGTCCTTGAAACATCCCTTTCTTCTGCAGCAAGAGCAAGGGGTCCACCGATGGATACTTTTCTCTTCATAATATCATTCTCTTATGCAGCAAGTGTTCCATAGACATCATGAAGTGACCAGCTGTCTAAGTCCTGATTTGCTTGGAGGGACATCGACAGCTGAGTCCACTCATCGTCGAGACTTTTAAGGAATAATATGTTATTTTCTTCCTTCGTCCTGAAGATGTCATTTCGACGACATTGATTGATCAATGTGTTAAAACGATCGTACGTCTTCTAAATCGGTTCATCAGGAAGAGCCTTGAAGTTGGTATACTCGTTGAGACATTGAGCTCTACGATTTTTCTTTGTTTTTGCTCCTCCTTCTAATTGACTTGTCAGCTCATCCCATAGTTCCTTTGCTGTGGTGCATGCATCGAGGGATTGGAAGATTTCATTGGGAATGGCCATGATAATTAATCTTTTGGCCTTTTTGTTAGTCTCTACGCGCTCCATATCATCTTCATCCTAATTCTTCTCGTCCTTGGACATGTAGTAAGCTGGTATTTCTGTTGTGGTGCTCGTTCCTGCGACTCTTGGAACAAGAGTTTGTGATATGTAGGGACCCTCCATGACAGATCTGAGGAGATTCTTGTCCATCCCCTCCAGAAAATTCACCATTCTTATTCTTCATTGTGGATGCTCTTCTCTTTGAATAGTTGGAGGTTTGGTGAGAGAACCAACACTATAAGCAGAATTCCAGTTGGCCATTGAAGATTTGGAAGAGAAAAATTACGCTTTTTAGAGAAGATTTTTATGAACTCTAGAATTAATGGAAAAGGCGAATTGAGAGTTTTTTGATGATCGTTTTGATTGAAGAACAATCAATTGGCTCTAATACCAATTGTTGATCCCAAATATCTCAATAACACTAATAATCAAGTTAAGAATAACCTTATTATGTCGTGTGGATGAATAAAATGATGAACACTCAAGAACAAAATATGAATATTCAAATAATATACTTGAGTGTCGAAAGAATCACTTTATTTCAATGATTGTGAAAAGTGTTCAAAGCGTTAACTGATTACAATAGGCCTAATCACCTATTTATACTATAAGGCTATTTTAGGATAACTATCTAAAGAGGATATCTAGCAAATCTTCTAGGAAAGATAAAGCTTATCTAAACAGGTAAAGTAAATCAAAACAAGATAAACTTTGTAGAATCCAGCTGTCGATTCGTCATCTCCAACTGTCTTCCATGGGGCGTTATTCAACCTTATCTTCATCGTATGCCTCTGGTTGAGCTGTTGTAGAAAACTCCAAGTGTTGGTAACCAGAGGGGTTATGAAGATGCTCAATCCATCGCACCTCTGGTCGATTCATCGACCCTCTGGTTGTATTGAGGACTTAATTGTTTTGCCATAAAGTCTTCCATCGGCCTTCTGGTTCTTCATCACTTGTTGTTCTTCATTACTTTTCCAAATGTGAATTATGGGGTCTAACAAGACCTGTAGGTCTAACCCTCATTTTGTGTTTTCAAATATGTGTTGCAGGAAATGTGGAATATAATAATAGTAAGGGAAAAGGCAAATTGTGAATTATCTCTCAATGTGCTTAGCCTTATGAAGATCGATGGATGTATTTTGATATTAGATGATATGTAGTACAAAAGCATGTATTTTGGAATTCTTTTAGTTAGGTATTTTGTATTGTAGTTTCTTGTACTTTGGATCTTTGTGGGCTTGAACATGGATTCTGTGTGATATGCAATGTTAGTTTAGGGGTGTTACAGCGGACGTAAGTACACGTGGGTGTCGCACTTGAGTTCACATATATGAATAGCGCGTCCCCAGCATGTTCTTGGTCTGGTACCATGATGTCTAGAGGATGATTTTATACTCGGTACGCCATCTGGTAATAAAATGTTGCGTGGGAGGTGTTTACTTGAGGAGTACTACCAATCTGGATCTGAGCCTTAAGTATCGTATGTTAAGAAGGATCATTGAGACAAATAATCATGAAACTCTAGTGAAGCACCAAAGCTAGAACCAATTTTCCCATTACTCTTTTTTTAACCTTCAAATTGTGCTTGCTTTAATAATTTTATACATATATATATGAACATAGATAATTTTCAGTTTCCACATATAGTTGAAAAAGAAACATATTAAAAACAAGTTTCGATAATAGATAGTTGTTAAACAGTAACATGTGATTGTCTTTTAACCGAAACAGTACAATAAAGTTTGATATAAAATTAAATTTAACAAGTAGGTATGAAGGAAAAACTTACTTGAATCAATTGATAAAGTTGAAATCTAAAAAAATAATCCTCGCTTAAGCAGTCGACTGCTCAAATTGACTAAGTTTATGTGTTGATAACGAGTTAAAGGAAAAACTATATAGAACAATAGTGAATGGAGAGAATAATCTATAATTCTCATTAATAAAAAGCTTTTAAATAAAGTAGATAACTATGAGATATATAGTTCTAATATATCTTTAATACGTTTATCTTTATCTATATTGTCATATTTTTTAGACGACGACACATTTATTTTGCCACAATATCCTACTTTATTTTATTTGTTTTCTATAACATTTTTTGGATATTGATACTCATTGATTTTTTTATCTAAATTTTCACCTTGAAATAACTGAAGGATTTTACAATCTACAAATTAAATTAAATCTCAATTGCATAGGCCTCATATATGAACATAAACACCGATATTTTCATTGGTTCATATGTGAACATGTGGATCCTAACATAAATTCACATTTAAATCATAATCATAACTTGTACGTGAATCAATTTATAATTTATAACCGAGATTTTGAGTTAGTTTAGAAGTTATTATTTGTGAGAAAACATGAATCATAATTATAACTTCTATGAGTCATTTCACAATCAAGATTATGAATCAATTTAAGATTCATATGCGAATCTTAAAATACATATTATCGTTCCAAAGTTAAAAGATAATGAAATTTCCGTCTTTTTTATAAGTTATTTAAATAAAATATTAATTAAATTTTAGATAATTTATTTTTTTAAAATGGGTAATTTTATTTTATGTTGAAAAAAGAGAAGTGAATATTTTTTATTTGAAAAAGAAGTGAATAAGTGGTTTTTTTAACTTGGATATCCAACTCGCTATGTGAGTCGACTAATTCCAAGACGACCACCTGCTTTGCAGGTAGCCCGAAGTCAATGTATTTGAACCTCCGTGGCCACAAAGAGATTTTTATTTCTCCTTCAATTTGAACCTGGAACTTCAGGCATTTTTAACCTTTGAAACTCAAGGTCAAACTAATCAGACACTACCCTTATGATTAAAAGAAATCAAAATAAGAATAATCATGCAAATGTTTCAAAATACATTTCTCAACTTTCTTAGATTATTTAAATTAATCATAATGTTTTTTATATTTATATATTTTTTTCATTAAGATCTCGATCATTCAAAAAAACCTCACCTTCAAAAATAATCTGGATTTTTGTATTTGAACCCTCCCTTAATTTAATATCTATATATCTAATTTGAATGCCTTTTAACTATTTTCCTTGTAGTTTTATTGTAGACTATCCATTATATCCATTTTAATATTACCAAAATGAGTGATTCTAAACGTTTTCAAAAAACCCATTGAAAGTTGCTTAAAATGGCTCCAAAAAATGTGATGTTTGTATGCTTTAACAAGTCTAATGGTTGCTTTGCAACAAAACAAACATTAAAACACCATCTCTTTTATATGGAAAACATACTAAAAGGACAAGCTTTCAACCATTTATAAAAGATAAGAGGAGTTCCTCTAAGCCTTGCTAAGGATTACCACACCAACCATATCAAATTTAGCCAGATCTCGACAAAACCAAAATAAGTTTGGCCACCATAAAGTAGATTCCGACCACCCTAATATACGGTATAGCCTACTAGAGATAGACAAACATAATCGGTTTTCAAGGGTGCGTTAGGTATACCGGACATGACATGACAAAACAGAACAGCGATCACTGTTTCACGTTTGACAGGATTTTTATGTGGAACATACATGAATGGAGTGGAACATGTTTGTTCCGCCCCTACCCCATGGAACAGAGTGGAACAAGGTGGAACGGATTTATATTTTACCAATATAATCTCAAAATAAAAATTAATTATGTTCTAAAACATCAAATATGTCTCCTTTTAACATTTTATTTATTGTATTTTATGATTTTAAACTTTCATTTTACTGTCTTCAAATTATTATTTTTACATGAGTTCTATATTTTTATTAATTTAGCGTCATTTTAAAAAAAATACGAGAACTTTCTAATAATATATTTTGTTATAAAAAACAATTATTTTATTATAATTTATAAATCACATAAACTTATAAATAAATAAAAAACAACTCATAAAAGGTATATTGTTCATTTTACTTTAACTGTTCTATCAAGTTTTGTCTTACCAAACGTTGAGCAACTGTTTTGTCTTATCCTATCCTATATGAACACCAAACACCCTAAGAAGTGGTGAACATCAACTAAAATAGTGTCCATTCCTTAATCGGTTAGAAAAGCAGTCAGGACAGATATGTAACTAATTAGACCCAACCAGTTACCCAAATCGGTCCTAGTAGGACCGATATTGAAAAAAGTTTATTGTTTATATTTATATATTATAACCAAATAAATAGGATCTTATTTGATTGGAGTATATAACATTTTGTTTTATTTGTGTTATATGTAATTTATAGTTTAATGCATCTATATAAATTTAAAAAATTAATAGGTCCAGTTATACCCGATTAGCCCAACCGTTTATGCGACCAGTTGCCTTTATTTATAGAATTTTCACCTGGCAATCGGTTATAAATGGAACTGTGACCAGCTTAACCGGTTACTCTTCTGTGCGACTGGGAATAGGACCAGCAGTGATGGAAAAATCTAAATCCCAACTAATCTTTAACAATCATCCATAGGATTGATATAAAAATTCTGTAGAAGTGATTTTGTACACAAAATACATATACCAAATAGACAGTGGGGTTTGATGAGTGCCTACTCATCGATGATCAAACTACAATTTACCCAGAAAAGAGAGCCTTGCTGCTATTATGTATTAGTGGGTATAAGCATATGGTCTATAAGTACATTCGTTTCACATCTCTGCGGCAAATGACTTGCCACAGCCACATGTTTGTGTAGCATTCGGGTTTTTGAATGAAAAGCCTCCTCCAATGAGTGCATCACTGAAGTCGAGTTGCATCCCGAAGATGAAAAGAAGGCTCTTCGGATCACACACTGCACATCAGCATTAAGAATCCACGATCCAGATCAGAAGTAGACAAAAAAAATCATGGTTAAAAGCAACTTTATATACTTCCTTAGCTTCTTCACCCCGGAAACAGTCCACTTACAAAATTTGAAAATTTCATACTGACTGTCCATTTCATATATTGCCTCTTTGTAGTAAACCAAACCAAGCCAAACCAGTTGGTTAGGGTTGGCAACGGGTAAGATATGGATCAGATAAGAGTTAATAACAGGTTAGGAAACAGATGAATATCCATGTTACGAACCCTTACCCATATCCGTACCCTGATCCCACCCGGAGGTGGGAATCTGAGGGTAAGATATATATATATATATATATATATATATATATATATATATATATGTGCAGACCTAACCTCTACCCAAAAGAGTAAAACTGTTGTTACAGTGAAGATTTCAACTTGTGAAAAGTGTGATTTTGTTATAATCACCAAAGAAGACATACTGATGCATGCCCACACTTGATCGCTGTCATGTCTTAATCCTTCGACTAACATCCTCAATCCAAAATAAGAATCTTAAATTTGGTGCGACTGCGCATTGAACATACAAGATTTTCATCCCCACAATGTTTTTGTATCAAAGTGCACTAAGGCTGAGGGTTTAAGGAGGGAAGCGCTTGTATACAACATTTCCTTAGCCTACGAAACAATCCTTTATAGTAGGCCAGAGCAATGGTTCTGAGGACAAGTTTAAAAGTCATATTGATCCAACAGAACACACTTGGCCCAGGTATTATTCTGTACTTGATAGGTTGATGATTAAGATGGTATATTATGTAAAAATTCATTCTTCAGAGCGTAGTTGAAGCCATATTGGAAGAGAATAAGAATAAACCATAACTAATAATTTATGGGTTTCAGTTTCCTACACTTCCTTTCTGCCCCACTCTTTGTTCACCATCACCAAGCATCTTAATCACTTTTCTTCCTCAAAAGAAAGTCCGGGGCTGTTTGGCAGTTGCTGAATGATTTAGTGCAGAATAGTTAAGAGGTCAGAATGGTTGAGAGGGTCAGAATGGTTAAGTGTTGAATGAAATAATGTTGTTTGGTAACTATTATCTGAATGACATTAAATTACCATTTTAACCCTCTCTAACAAAAACCCATTATTCCATTTTAACCTTCACTTTTTGTTCCTCTTTGCCCCTTAGATATTAGTAAACCCTAAACTAAATTCTTGCCCTTGTTCAAGACCGGCGATGAGAGGGTGGGGGAGGGGCTGTGAAGACCGGCGA